ACACACACACACACACACACACACACACACACAAACACACACACACACACACACACACACACAACACACACAAACACACAAAAAACACACAAAACGGGGGGCGGTGGGGTTTGGGGGATGGGGGATGTGCCAAGTTGCCCTCAATACTGGTAGGGTGATGGTCCTGAGTGCTGGTCACACTGAGGTAGGATAGTAGGGACAGGGGTTGCGCTGGGAGTATTAACGTGGGGATGGGTGGGGTAGGTGACATGTCCTGTCAGGACAACCATTGGCTGCTGCTACCAACAATTACCGCGGGTCTGGTCCTTGGCCTCTACAACACCCTGCGCTTAAAAAAAAAAAAAAAAAAAAAAACAAAAAAAAACACCGTCGTATGTTGTCTTTTGTGCATGTGGTAAGTAGAGGCCCACAACCTGTCTGCTTTCAAATGTCAAGGCCAGGAACCTTCCCGAATTTTCATTGGTCTGTTGTTGCTTGGACCTTTGAGTCATGACTTTTCGATTTTGGCATATGATTTCGACTGTGGACTGTGACTCCTGCCACTAGGACACGAATCTGGCCTATGGAACTGCCCTTTACTCATGGGATGTGACTCTTTAATATGACTTTTCATTATGAAAGGTGATTTTTGCCCCTAAGATGTGGCTGTTTGCTGGGTACCTGTTGAATTTCCTGCAACATCAGTGACCCTGAGCCCCGAATTTGGGGTCTGAATCGTGGAAGGCCTTTCAGCATGTGGTGAGTAGAGGCCCTTAGGGCCACTGCACGTATTCCTAGGGAAAAAAAAACGAGAAAAAACAAAAGAAAAATGAGAAAAAAAAAAACGAGAAAACAAAAGAAAAATGAGAAACAAAAGAAAAACGAGAAAACAGAGAATTAGTGACCCATAACTATGATGCACACAGTGCCACAGACCTGAATTCGAATCTAGACTCTATATTATCGGCCCACACAGACAATTTACAAGTCTAATGTTCATCTCTGCTCCATGAGGGGTCCTTGCTAATCTGTAGGGACCCTTCGAAAATGAGACTGGAGGAATAGAATGGAGCATTTGTAAAAAAAAAAAAAAAAAAAAAAAAAAAAAAACGACTTGCACTCACATGAACACGTATATGCTTACAGTGCTGGGGGATGGGGTAGCCCCAACTTTTTCCCTCTTGCAGTTTGATTTTCGGGAAGGAGGGACATTTTTTGCCACCTCACCCTGTTAACAAGATTTTTTTTTTTTCTTCTTCTTGTTTTTAGTGTTTGGGCGCGTAGGGCCATGTGTCCGAGGCCCAACACGCCGGTTCTGTTTTTCAAAATTCAACGGGACACCCCCGTTTTTGCATTAAATGCGATTCAACAAGGGTTCCCGGACCCGTTAAACGGGTATGACGACGTTCAATTTTTCCCGTTCTCAGTTCATCGGACACATAACTCTTCATCGGTATTGTATAATGCATGTATCACCCTCGATGAATCTCACGTAAGTATAATTATTAGTGTGGTATGTCATATAACATTGTTAGTGCAGTTTATGCAAGTGAATAAGTGCATTAAAAAATAAGCAGGAGTGCATCGATTCTCACTCCGCAAACTCCAATTTTTTTATAAGTGTCCTGCTCCGTTAAGGTAACCCTCAGTATGCGTTACTACAATAAACTACATACAATCAACATGACTATAACTACACATCTTGGAACACTAGCTCACATAAAGGCATCAACGAACTTGGAAGATAACCGGAGGCGCACAAAAGGATGGACCGTACACTTGGCAACAACGAACTTGACGGAGCCGGAGATGAAGACACTCATGCGACTGTCAGTGCAAATCGAGAATAGAGACGTCATAGCAAGCTTGTTTAACAAAGATACGAAAGAAAAACTGGCGATGACAGTGAATGATTTGAGCTTGCTTGTGATTAAAAAAAAATGGTTGAACAAGAAGATCGTGAATTTTTATCTTAACCTCGTTCGACTAGACAACGAGTGTCGTTTGAATCACGAGAATTGTCACTTGAAGAACGAGAATGTGGCTAGAACAGGAAAGAGGCGCATTCCTAGAACAACAATTCTCAACTCTTTTTTTTTTGCCATACTATTTGATAGCAAAATGAAGTTTCAGTACGATATGGTTTGCAAATAGTTCACAGAGGTTGTGATAAGCGACATGGATTTGATTATTGCACCTTTCCATGTCGAGCACAACCAACATTGGACACTTGTAGTGGCAGACCTTAGGCGTATGAAATTTGAGTACTACGATTCGCCAACACCAGATGTTCAACTCGCAAAGAAGGTGACAGGGGGATTCGCAAAATTTTTGTACATGAGATCAGTCGATCAAGATCAAGAGATTGACACCAAAAACTTCAACCATCGATGGGAAGTGGAAGGCATTCCAAAGCAGCGCAACTTCAACGAGTGTCGTGTGTTTATGCTCACATATGCATCCCTATTGGCGAGAGGGTTTCTGCCACCATTCACATTCACATCAGATGACACTAAGAGACTACGATGCGAGATAGCTTTCGATGTAGCTGTTGTGGAGTAGATATATGAGTCGGGTACAATAGTCGTCCAAGCATATGAGAGGACCATGCAGTGAGCACAAGTAGAGGTGATAATAGGAGATAATGAGCTCGCAAGAGTATTCAGGATAAATGATGCGGTCGAAAATGCAAAGGTAACTGGTCGTGCAAGACAAATATCGTATGAAAAAAATTGTTAATGTAGGAATGATTTACGTAGGCAAGAAACAAGTATGTGACAAACACTTACACCTAACCCCTTACCCCAATTCATTACCCGCTTACCCCCAATTCATTACCCCTGGCCCCATACCCCTGGCCCCATACCCCTGGCCCCATAACCCTTACCCCATACCCTTTACCCCTTACCCCTTACCCCTTACCCCTTACCCCATACCCTTTACCCCTTACCCCTTACCCCTTACCCCATACCCCTTATCCCTTGACCCCTTACCACTTAACCCCCCTTCTCCTGTCAAAAATCATTTGCAAATGAAGACAATTCACGCAAAAAAATTGACTTTCAATTTTGTTCAAAAAATTAAAAAAGTCCGTTTTGACGAAATCGCAGTTCAACCTCCTGAACACAACGACCAAACATTACAGGACAACCATCGAGCTTAGTGCCCCTAAGGCGGACTGGCCTCAATTATTCATATAATAGATTGAATTGTTTGGTTAAAAAAAAAAAAAAAATCTTTCATCTTTACGACAACTCCTAAGGCTATACAGGGGATCCCTACAAGCATAGCTATCTATTTCTCTTGGTGAAGGGAGGTTACCTCTCTCCGTGGGAGGGAGGTATTGTATGTTTGCCCCTTGCCCTGGTGGTTTAGGGTGCAGGGTTGGGGCCGCCGGTGTGGGCCCATCCAACACAAGGACAAAGCGTTTGCCAGTAGCTGCCCCTCCCTTTAAATTTCATCTTCGCCCACCCCCAGAGAGTTATAGCAGTGTCTAAGCCACCACTCTCCCACACATCAGACACAGTCCACTCACACTCGCACTCATACCGATGTTGCCTGAAGACCCTACTGATACTGACCAGCTGGTTGGCAGCATGGGGATTGAACCGATGACCTCCTAAATGCCACTTGCGTGCCTAGTCAATTGAGGCTGCTGATCTTTCTTTTGTTTGGTTCCCTATAGCATCTCTTAAACCACCAGTACCTCGCCCAGCTTGAAAAAGCCGGCGCGGCCGTTAACTAGAGAGAGAGAGAGAGGGAGTCAGACTCGGCGCCAAACTCGGCGCCAGACACTGCGCCAACCACACTCTAGAAATGCGCAAAATGAAAATGAACTTACCTCATAACATGGGCAAATGCGCCCACCACATTTTGAGAGTGGTGTGGCGGCACCCTCTCTCGCTCTCTCTCTCTCTCTCTCTCTCTCTCTCTCTCTCTCTCTCTCTCTCTCTCTCTCTCTCTCTCTCTGTGTGTGTGTGTGTGTGTGTGT